CAAGTGGTTGATGTCTTTGTTTGGTTCGGATGTTGCGACCAAACACACGCTCGGCAAAACGCTCCATCGTATTCTCACGTCGTTTGGAAAAAGTGAGTTCTCTCGCAACTTTCGTCGCACCATTCAAGTCATATTCTACCTTCATCGTTGGCCGACACGCCCAGACTATACCGTACCACAACATGTCAAACTCAGAGCAGGTTTGAATTGAGGCGCGAACTTGTATTGATCGAGACACTCGGAGCTGGTGTGTAGTTTTTTTTTCGTTCGTGAAACCCACCTTCCCTCACTCTTTGGCGTGGTTGACTTTCTTTCTCTTGATTTCCGTTCTTCATTAATCATGTACTGATATGTACTCTTTGTAGGCTCAGCTGGAAGCTTTCGTCTGTTGATTGGAGGTGCCGTGCAACAACCATCGGAATTTTGATGCGGGGTGTCCATGCCACTCTGGTAAGTCTCTTTCTATCGCCTCCATTTTATCGTTCTACTCGTTATGTCCTCGAATCGTATCGCTACCGAAGTTCTGGTACTCGATGCGGACTCCTAGCGATTCCTCCCGTTGCATCCACCTGTCTTAGTGTACGTTCGTCGGTACCATGTGCTCACATTGATCTCCCGCAGAACCCAGCATATAACCTATCCGAGTGGCATCATGAAGCGGTGGCTATAATAACCTGAAAGGGAGCCGAAATTCAAGGAGGATGGAGGCTGCGCACATCCATGATCACCGTCCTTGTGCGTTTTATTCCATTTCCCCCCTTCTCGTCGTTTCTCGCCTGGGTCCATTTTCTTTGTTCTCTTCACATCCGATTGACTTCTTCTAACTGTCACCTGTAGATTTGGATGCTTACGCCGGCGTTGGGTCAAAGAAATTAACTGCGGTGGGTTAACATGGACTAATGTATGATTACGGTCCTGATTCCCTTTGTTGAAGGCTTTGGCGAATATCTGTCGTCCTTCACACTACCGGCTACCGGCCACCACATATAGCATTGTTCTGCTGAAATATCATGAAGTCCTGAATTGGACTTTGTTCTCCTGAGGTCCTCGCCTCGTTTCAAGTGGTTTAGGTATGAGATCGTTTATCTTCTCAACCCCTCTCGCTATCAAGGCTGCCAGCGGGGAGTCACCGGTAGTTGTAAGGTCGGACATTTCATCTTGGGTATCGTTTCTTCAATGAGGCGTAGATGGGCGACATAGCGTCGACCACGGCGGTAGCGGCGCGTCTTATGTACATCCAAGTTTATCGCTTTCCTTTCCGTTCGTCTGTCCCTTACTATGCTTTTGGGATTCTCAATGTTTTCTCGTTTCTCATTGGTCTTATCCCGTGTATCCTGTCTCGGTTCTGGGTACTTGTACTCACTTACTATCTCCGTCTTGGGACATTTACAAACTTACTCTGGCCGTCTTTACTATATCCCCTTCTCGCGTTCGCTCTGGTTGTAATGCCCTCCTTTCATTGTACGTCGAATGTCCCGGTACCTTCTCAACCCCTTCGTCTGTTGCCATCTAGTTCGTGTGCAATCCTGACCAACCACCAAAGATAGGTATGCCCCTTATAATCTTGTACGTCGTGTGTGCATCGTGCTGATGGACACTGGTGGTGAAGTGGGATCACAATTGAGATATGGCGTGTTTCGCCGTCCCAAGAATCGGGGGTTCGAATCCCTCCCAGTGTTCATCGGAACTTGAACTTCGATCTTCTTTTTATGAATAGTGGTCCTTTTATTCAGGTTGTCATCACCTTATCTTATTCATGCCCGATGTTTTGGGTGTTCTGACGTGACTGCAGGTACTTTCTTTCCGTTGCGTGGATAAGACTATTATAATAAGAGAATACTCGCATCCATCGAGCTTCTATCCACGAAGTCCTGACTTCCTACAGAGAGACTTGGTGGAATGAAACGACGGCGGCATTCCTCGACTGCCCTTGAGTTACAACAGATTCATCGGAATTCTAGTCCTTAACGAACATCTTCCACATGTGCATACTATAAGGCACCTCTACGAGTACCCTAATCGACCAAACGCTGCAAATGCAATTCCGCTTTCTGCTTCCGACGTTCCCGAACTGCCTGATCCGCTATGCCCCAAAAACCTCTTCCTTTCTGGACGTCCAACAACCACTCATCCAATTCATTGTCAGACCGACAGGCAATCCTCACGGTTTTTGGGTCGTCCATGCTTGCTTGGGAATCATGACGGACCGAAATGTGATCAACGTTTGTATAATCCAAGAGGATCAAGACTTCCACTGTGGGGAGTGTCTCCCAAATACGAGGGACGAGATCCTCGTCGCTTGGGTATGGGAAGACGAAGTGTGTGACGGAAGTGAAATGTTTGAACATGGTGATATCCTGTTCGGATGCGATGATCATTACGCTGTGCAGGTGTGTAATCCTATTCAAGACTCGAATGAGTTTGGGGTTCTCCCAATCGGAACTTGAAATCTTCTTCAAGTTGAGGGAGAGGTGCGTAAGAGCTTGTAGGTTTGCGATCGCGTCGAGTTGGGGAGTTGGTAGATCCATCGAATGTGCTGACCAGAGGACGAGGTTGGTTAGGTTTGGGCAAAGGGAGATGTATTCGGCTGCTAGTGGATCATGATATGGAGAGGATGGAAATGGGGATATCCAAATGAAGAGATTTCGTGTGTGGATGCCGTATTTTGTGAGGGTCGCGATGTTGACGTCCCAGGAGGTTGGGTAGTTTTGGGCTGGTGGGAATGTACGAATGGCGAAGGTTTCTGTTAGTTTTGGGATGAGCCTTGGAACGTATTCATTTGATCGTCAGCGTGGTTCTTATTTA